CTCCATAATAACCCCCTGGAATGAGAGGACCCCATGGCTGAGGAGGGGGTGCCCATTGAACGTCACCTGTCATTCACCATCTGCACTCAAAGGGCCACGACACGTCTCACATTTAGTAAGTCTGACACAGAGCGGCCCAGCCCCCTGCCCAGCTCACCCACCCCAGCCTCCCCATCTCTCTGACGACAGCTCCGTCCTTCTTTTGATTTTGAAGATCTTTCTGGAATGATCTTTCTTATTGCCAACACACCTGATGGCAAATGTTATGGAACTGTAAAGTTCATTACCCCTAAAGGCACCAAGGCAAAGCCTCGGTTTACCCCATGGATACAGAACCCAGCAAAACTGCCCTTCAGAAACGGGTTTCTATCACCTCCACCCCAAACCCCGAACCCACCTCGGGTCACAAACACGGCGGCCATCCTTGGCCTCTCTCACACCCACATCCACTTCAGCTCTGTCTTCGGGATCCATTCAGAATCCAGCCGCTTCTCACCGCCGCCACCGTTGCTCCAGGGGCCGAGCCACCACCATCTCCTGCCTGGGTGACGGGGGCGCCTCGCTGCACCGTCTCACGTGACGCACATTCTACTCATTTAACGCTGCCTGTGGTCTGTCTCCCCCGAAATATAAGTATTGTCAGAGCGGGGATCATGGTCTGTTCTGTGCATAGTTGTGTCCCTGTCGCCTAAAGGGGTGCCTAACGCATAGACGATGCCTAACAAACCCTTGTCAAATGAGTACATGAGATTTTACAAGCATGCTCAGGACAGGTTGGAGCGGGATCGCAGTCCTGAGCTGAGAGGAGTCAGTGCTCTGAGCTCCCTTTCGTGTTCCCTCCTCTCTGGCTGGCCACGGAGCCTCAACTGGTGGCTTCTGCCATTTCTGGAGTCTGGGCACAAGCGTAAAACCCCACCTGTGGGGGGTGGTACAGTGTGGTGTGGGGAGGCAGGTGGACCCGTGGGCCAGTTTAGGCTCTACCACTTGCTAGCACAGTTCTGGTACCCTCTGTAAAGTTCTTGTACCCTCTGTAAAGCGAGGGAGCGAGTAATCGTCGTGGGCATTTCTTGTAGTGGATACTAAGTTCCAGGCACCGCGCTAAACCTCCTACACGCGGCTCATGTCACCCCCACATCAACCCAGTGGACCGGGCACTGTTGTTACAGCTGCCAACTTACACTGGGGAAACCGAGCCGCAGAGAGATTAAACAATTCAAGAATGATCTTAGGTGGTGACAGGCAGGGCTGGCACGTAGCCCTCACGAACGCTGACATCGTTACGGCAGGGCTTCAGGCACCGGGCGTCTGAGAGGGGCGGGCAGGGCCTCTGAGGGGTTTGTGGAGGCTCTGCCCGGTGCCCAGCTGAAGCCCCCCTTCCCCACCCTCCAGAGAGGCCTTGGGCGCCTCCTCCCCAGACCTCCTGGATTGACAGCCTTGAATGAGCAGGGCGGGCATGGAGCCAGGAGGTGGGGACCCGGCTCAGGCAGGCTAATCAGGTCACAGGGTGAAATTAAAAGGGAGGAGGAGGGCAGCAGCCCGTCAGAACCCACACTCCTTCCTGGCGGCCAGATGCCCAGGAGAGGAGCTGGGGAGCCAGGGGACAGGATGGCCCCGCAGAGAGCTGTACAGCTGTCCCCGAAGACGCCCACCCATGCCGTGTGTGTGGTGGGAGTTGAGATGCTCGTGGACGTTCACAGGTGAGAGAGAGCTGGGCAGCGCCTGCCTCGCTGCAGAGAACCGGGCTAGAACGGAGGGCCCGAGGCGGTGGGGTGGGCGCCAAATTGGGCATGCCGGGGGACGCTGGCGGGAGCTTGTTTAGACAGCAGAGAAGGTGGAATTGGCTGCCGATTCTGGCAGGGAGGGACTAGGGTCTGGTCAGGTCCTCCCTGGGTCTCTGGCTCCCGAGCACCAGGGCCAGGACATGGGCCTCAAGCCCCTGGGTAAGCCTCAGGGTGCTGGCTCTGAGCCCCGGGGTCAGGCTTTGGGGTCTGGGCTCTGCGTTCTGACGTCGGGGGGAGCTTGTGAAGCATCAGAATGAATTGTCACTCAAGACAGGGAAAAGTTAAAAAAACAAAAAGTGTTACAGCTCTTTTAGAACTTGTCTAGTAGGTTCTCCCCTCCCTCGATTTCTCACCATCCCCCACCCCACCCCGTGTCTGTGAGGTGGAGGGATGAGCGTCGCAGCTTGATCCTTGGAGGTCCGCTGGCGCGACCGGGATGGTCGGGTTCCGGGGGGGAGCGGTGAGGGCACAAACTATGAGTAATAGAAGGAGAAAATCCGGAGCAAGACCTGGGGTGCGTGTTTGCCATGAGATGGTGGTGATGACGGTGATGATGATGGTGATGACGGTGAGGACGATGGTGGCCGTAGGATGGTGATGGTGACGATAATGACATCCGAGGGGGCGGCAGTCACATCAGCTTCTCCTGTTGGCCCAAATCCTCCCTGTCCCGGCTCTGCCCAGATGGGGACCCAGGCACCTGGCCCGGCCTCAGTTTCCACAGTTGGCCACTGAAGGAGGGGGACTTGGTGGTTTCTGGGGCATTTCCAACTCCGACAGACTGCGGACTCCATCCCTGCTGGACCAGGTGGGGGCTCAGGGTCGGAGTCCCCCTCAAAGAGGAGCTGGGGGCCCGTTAATTACGCCAGGCCCGGCTGCCCACAGAGCCTCAGGGGATCCTCTGCCTGGAAGCCCTCTCTGCTCCTGTCCTGGGCGGTGTCCTGGGGCCCCAGTGCCGGGGCTGGGGAGCACAGCCGGGAGCCCTGGGCCTGGACTCTGCTGGGAGCCCCGGCACGGGGGCTGGTTCTCCTGAATCTAGGTGGCCAGTGGAGACCCCATTTTTTCCTGCCCTGTTAACAAGGGGTTGCCAGATTTAACAAATAAAAATACATGATGCCCTATTAAGTTCAAATTTCACATAAAAAACAAGTAACTTTTTTAGTGTATTGTGTAGGACATTCTTACACTCCAGAATCTGCTGTTCAGCTGACACTCCAGTCCAGCCGGGCATCCTGCGTTTTATCTGGCAGTCCTACCTTCACACTGAGAGCAGAGAAGGGGTCCCTAGTCGGCCTCACCTTTCCCGATTCCAGGCGGTTTCTGGAAGGCAATTTCGGGACCTCAGGCTCTGTGTGGTGCTACTAAGGCCACAGCCTTTCCTGGGGAGGCCGGAGTCCTGGGTTCTGGTCCCAGCGCTGCTGCAGGCTCTTGCTGTCCGACATGGGCCAAGTCACTCGTCCTCCGTCTGAGCCCCAGTGAGATGAGCTGAGTCCCCTCTGCAGTTCGGCATGGAGGTTAAGTGCCCAGACTCTGCAGTTGAACAGACCTGGGTTCTCATCCGGGCTCCATTCGTGGCTATGTGGCCCTGGGCAAGCTGCTACACTTCTCTGAGCTTCAGTTTCTACAGCTGAAAAATGGGGAAACAACAACACCAACCTTAATGGGTTTGGGGAAAGATAATGAGACCAAGCGTGTGCCGGGCCCCTTGCACGGTGGGTGCCCTGGTGGTGCTCGTGGCTTGCGGGCATCTCTTTCTCCAGCATCTGTTCTTTCCATCCCACCTGAGAGGGTGGGAGGAGACAAGGACAGCTCAGCGTGTGTGTGGCGGGAGCACAGGGTGGTGCTGTCTGGGCGGGTCCTTAGGGAACACCTTGGTAACCTCAAATGCAGGCCCGGCCCGGCTGAGGGGCCACGAGAAGCTGCCTGGGTGGTTCACGGCTGCTGTGCTCTGGCTGGCCCTGGGGGCAGAGGCTGCCTCAGGGTCCTGAACTGAACACATGGGAGGCCTCTGCCCATAGGCCCTTCACGAACCTTCGCCCCCAGACACTGGTGCTGACTAGGGTCTTAGCCACGGAGAGTCTCTAGACCAGAACACAGACGTTTATTTGGCAGCAATAAGGCAGAACTTCCGGCCAGCTAGGGCTGCGACAGGTGGAGAAGGGGGGCATGGGATTGTCGGCCTGGGACGGTTTTTGAGAGGAGCCTGAAGCTCACTCCAGGAGCCGGGCTGGCTGGGAGAAAGGGGCTACCCTGGATGACGAACGATGACCTTGGGACCTCCCCACCCCATTTGCCCCGCGCCTGGCTCCAGCTGAAGCCAAGCAAGGGGTTTCTAACTGGCCTTGCTGGTAGCAGGGGGACGCCTCCTGGGAGAGGAGGTGTGCAGGTCACCTGAGCTGTTCGGAGTCTGAGCCCTCCAGGAGATGGGCGTGTAGGGGCACCCTCACTGGAGTGATTAATTCCCCCGGGGCTGTGTGGACTGGTTATTTGGAGAAATATTTGTGTTTGGGGTAATTATGTGCCCCGGAGTGTCCCAGCCCGAGGAACCCTTAGGAATCCTCGGCTCAGTATGTGCTGGAGACCCCACTCCCACACCCCAGCACGCTGGCTCGCCACCCTGTCCTGTGCCCCCGTGGGCTGGCTCACCCTCCTGACTCCCTGGGTCTGGCCAGACTGCCCTGGCTGTCCCTGTCCTTGCCTGGGGACTTGAGGTGGCTCATGCCAATGAAGCATGGGCACTGTGGGGAATCCGTGAGTGGGCCCAGCGTGGCCCTCCGTGTCTGCCCGGAATCAGAGCCCCAGGCTGGAGGCCATAATGAATGTTTATTCTTTGGGATGAAGAAGGCTGGCTGGGCAGGGGACGGGGACTATTCCCAGGCCTTCCCCACCCCCGCCAAAGCATTAGTGCAAAATGGACTCTTCAGATCAGGGCGCGGTAGAATTCGAGGGGTACAGGGGAGGGATGCTGTAGGGCCTCTCAGATGCAGTTTCTGGGGTTCCCTGTATTTCAGAAAATGAAAACACCAAGACAGAGCTGTAAAATGTGTGGCACACTTAGTGTGCATGTCTAGTAAATTAATGCTTTTAACCGGCGTAGAACAATGAAGCGTAATGGTGCTCTTCATGGGATAATTACAGGATTGGTGCCGACACTAATTTCTAGCGACCGACAGGCTGCCGGCGCTGGGCTGGGACACCTTCTGTCCTCCTCGCTCCATCCTGTTGCTGTGTCACCGACACAGGAAGGACACCCTTTGTGAGGAGGGATGTTAAAAGTTCAAGTGTTGGCGAACGTGAGGCTGGCCGGGTCACCCATAAGTTCCACGGGCGCTGATGGCCCCGGGGTCGTAGAATCTGCACTTGGCACGGTGGCGCGCGTGCATTCTTGAAACGTAAAGGACTGGCGTCGGGAAGGGCCTCAGAAGCCAGCCAGCCCTCAATTCTACGGGCCTCCCTGCCTCCCTGGGTCCCTGCTGCCACCTGCCATTCGGGACCCTCGCAGGTGCCCCACTTCCCGCCCTGCCCTTCCTGTCATTTCCTGGGCTCTAGTCTTGGAATGTGTCCTCATTCTGCACTTTTTCCTCCTCCCTCTCAGCTCCGTCCCTGCCACCCCCAGCTCTCCCTCCCCCTTCCAGGTTCACAGCCTTCCTCCCATGTGGGCCCAGGGCTGGGGGCACTGAGAGGACCAGATGCAGGTCCTGCTCTAGATGCGAGGAGCACAGGGCGGTGGTTCACCTGTGGTGTTGTGGTTCCCCGCCCCCCCACGGTGCTTTCCTTTCACTGTGCCGTCTTCCTCTTGCTCTGTCCTCCCTCCACCGTGCCGTCCTCCCCTTGTTCTGTCCTCCCTCCACCGTGCCGTCCTCCCCTTGCTCTGTCCTCCCTCCACTGGGCCGTCCTCCCCTTGCTCTGTCCTGAGCAGCCTGAGTAGCCTCGGTCTATGTGGCTTCTAAGCAGCTGCTCGGCTCTGCCGAACCACCCGCCCCTCGAGGGTGCGGGGGATGGGCTGTGGGGCTGGAAGGAACTGCAAATCCGCACCCAGCCAAGCACAGCAGCCACCAGGAGGGGAGCCCCAGCTGTGAGCTGGAAAGGCCTAGGGATTCCAGATGCTGGCCTGCAGGTGGGCACTGGGGCCCTCAGGGGGGCTGGTGCTGAGGAAGCTGGGACCTGCAGGGTTGTGGCAGGGTGGTGGCAGGACTCTGGCCTCTCAGGTGACACAGACCTGTGTTTAGGCCTCCAAATGCACCCTGGGCCCCAGAGCAGAGAACCTGGTCACTCTGCATGTGAGGCCAAGATCACCGGAAGTCCTGCCTAGTGCTTCTCCCTCGTCCTTCCCAGCACGTCAGCGACCCCTGCTGCCCCCACCCTGGCTCTCAGGCACCCTGCGGGGAGAGGGGGACAGGGGGAAGGTCAAAAACTCTGAAGCAGGACCCTGCAGAGGAGGGTGCAGCTGGTGTGTCCAGCCAGGCTGGGCGCGAGGCTGCAGGACAGTGGGACAAGCAGGCTGGGGCTTCCTGACATGGGTGAGGAGGAAGCAGGCTGCACCCCGACCTGGAGGCTCCACCCTGGCTGAGCCCACAGGAGGAAGCCCACAGGGGGTGGGGCCACCGAGGGCCAGTCCAACCACAGCTGGGAACAGAGTGGCTGCTGGTCACGACTGCCGGTGGGGGGACAGGCTGGTCTTTGGGGGCTGTGTGACCTTGGGCCAGTCACTTAGCCTTTCTGAGCCTGTTTTCTCCCAGCTAGATGGGAACGACCTCGTTTATTGTTTGTACCTGTGAAGCTGGCACCTTTATTTCTCCCATTTCACAGATGAGCAGTTCCACAGTCCACGGAGCACGGGTTTGCTTTAGGGAGAGAAGTGACACATGGCGTGGACTCTAAACTCAGCGCCCTTCCTCTCAGGGATGCTCCAGTCC